CTTCCCTTCCCCCTTCCCTTCCCCCTTCCCCTTCCCCTCTCCTTCCCCCTCTCCCCCCTCGGGTCTCCAGGTGATCCCGACCAGATCAAGGGGGAGACAATCGACTACAACGAAAACTTTAACTGGGAGGGGCTGCAAGGCAGGCTTGGATTCGGTCCCTTTGGTAAGTGAGGACATAGGAACATGTTGTTGTTATAGTTAGGACATAGGAACATGTTGTTGTTATAGTTAGGACAGATGTTCTTGTTATTTGTTCTTATAAGTTAGGACAGATGTTGTTGTTATTTGTTCTTATAAGTTAGGACAGATGTTGTTGTTATTTGTTGTTATAAGTTAGGACAGATGTTGTTGTTATTTGTTCTTATAAGGTAGGACACAATATGTTGTTCTTATTTTTGTCCTTTGGTAAGTGAAGAGAGATGTTGTTATTTGATCTTATAAGTCATGACAGATGTTGTTATTTGATCTTATAAGTCATGACAGATGTTGTTATTTGTTTTAGGATAGATGTTGTTTTTATTTGTCCTTCGGTAAGATAGGAAAGATTTTGTTCTTTTAGATTCCTGTTCTATGATGGATCACTTTGTCGTGTGATTAGGCTCAGTTATTTATAGTTACTCAGTCTTTGATCCTTGTTCTATGATGGATCATGTTGTCATGTATTAGACTACTCACTATAGTTACTCTATCTTTGGTGTCCTGTTCTATGATGGATCACCTTGTCATGTGATTAGACTACTCACTATAGTTACTCTGTCTTTGATCCTTGTTCTATGATGGATCACCTTGTCGTGTGATTAGACTACTCACTATAGTTACTCTGTCTTTGATCCTTGTTCTATGATGGATCATGTTGTCGTGTGATCAGACTACTCACTATAGTTACTCTGTCTTTGATCCTTGTTCCCTGATGACTCATCTCTTTCCCCAGCGGGTCAGTTTAACCGCGAGTACCGTGCGGCCCAGTTCCGCGGGCTGCCCCTGCCCATCCTGTGGGCGGCCGAGTACTTCACGCTGGACGGTGAGGGCATCCGCTGGGGCCGCTTCTACCGCCAGGCTGGCTGGTACTCACACATCGTCTTGTGGTCAGTGCTCATCTAGAATCATAACATTAATGATGGTCTTGATATTGAATGTTCCTTTTAAGGAAATGAAGAAGTTTTTTTTGTCGATAATAAAATATTATTATGTCCCTTTTATACCATTCTATGATTAAAAGTGTGCTATTATTTTGTATAAATATTGCTGCAGGGTGGGAATTGTAGGGTGAAAGAAAAAGAAAAATTTGACAGAACCATTAAGAAAGCCAGCAAGATCTCTGGATATGATTTTACTAGAATTGATGAAATGTATAACACCACAAGTATGAAAAATATAAAGAGCATTATAAACGACCCATCACACCCCCTTTACCACGGAAATTTTAAGATCACACAGCGGCAGATATGTACCTCTAAAAACGAAGAAAGATACAAAATAAGTTTATCACCATCTAGAATAAAACTACTGTCAGAATAAACATCAATGTGTATTGCTTTTTCGAGTATGTATCTATATATAACTCGAATGGTCTTGTAATTAAATTCCTGCATGTGGTTGAGTGATGCATCAGATATACATACATTTGCCGGCTTTACTTCTCTTTTCATATTGAATTTTAATGAGAGTACTATAATATATAAGATATAGATTTCTATGTATACCTGCATGTGTTTTTTACGGTCCTGTACAGCCAAGAAAGATTTCCCTCTGGGACAATAAAGTATTATCTTAATCTTAATCTTAATCTTAATCTTAAAATTGATAAGAGTTGGCTTCAGCCATGGGCCATCTCCCGGTCAAAATTCAAAAGTAATTCCTGCCAAACTGAAACTGCAGAAACAACCAACTTGTGCCTTGCGTGCTCACACGGCCTGATGCTGTTGTGAGCGCCGTAAAACTCTTGACTAAACAAAAAACAAAATGTGAGGCGTGCTGATAAAATGAGTTACTTCTTGCAATCCACAAATTGAGATATGGGGCCAAAATCGACATTAGGATCACAATTGTAGATTTTCAATTGATGGCATATTCTTTAACTATAACCAGTCTTTTATTATCTTATACTTGTGAAAACTTCACCTATAAGCATGCTGTATCTATTTCCTTATGGCTCGAATCTGACAAGTAACTCATTTTGTCAGCACACTTCACAAATGGTAATAATAATACACGTATAATATACATTCTGTAATATATTACCAGGTTGGCCTTTCCTCTGTGGCTCCTGGCCAACATCCTGTTCTTCGTCCTCCTCCGTTATGGCGCCTACTTCCTGGCTCTCACGGGCGCTTCCATGGTCACGGCAAACATCATCTGGGCAACCCTTCGCAATGTGAACGAGCTCAAGATACCTTTCACAGCCGACGAAGTCCTCGAGTTTTCCTACGGGGGCTCCTTCTGGGTCTGTCTCATCACTGGTAGGTCTGTGTGTCTCAGACTGTCTCATCACTGGTAGGTCTGTGTGTCTTAGACTGTCTCATCACTGGTAGGTCTGTGTGTCTCAGACTGTCTCATCACTGGTAGGTCTGTGTGTCTCAGACTGTCTCATCACT